AAGAAGGTAATGGGTAATTGAATGTATGCGGACAGAATATTGTTGGCCACGTGAGACGTGAGTTATGTCATTTGTTATAGAGTGACTGTTGAAATTAAGTGTATCGTAAAGTTGTATTTGGAAAGAATAAACCCATTTTATTTAAGAAAGGACTTGTGTCGCTAAAGTTTAGTCGGAAGGAATTTACGGAAAATTAAACTAACGAACGGGGACGTAACAAATTGGTGTCAGAGAGTGGGACAAAAAATGGAAACGAGAAGCGGCAAATCAAACTACAGTATAGCAGATTTGATGGCAGCAATACAAGAACAGTAAAAGAAACAAGAAGAACGAGAAGAGAAATTACAACAGTTGTTGGAGGAAAAAGAAAAGAAACAAGAAGAAAGATTACAGCAGTGGCAAGAAACCTACAACAATGCCAGCTCGAACAGCAAAATAAAGAACCAGGTATCGATATTAAAGCAGAGCAGGAGAAAGATCAAGATTTGAAACCATTGATTGATTTTTTAAAAGCAAGTGTTTCGCGCCTTGCTTGGGAGAAGGTGTCTAGTCTAACCCCTGTGACAAAGCACTATTGGGCACAATGGGACCAGTTAAAGCTTGGAGATGGTATTCTTCTCCGGAGATGGAAAACTACAGATAAGAAATTGACGAATTGGCAAACGGTTATACCGAGAAAGTTATGGGAAGTTGTGCTGCGTCAATCCCATGATAATTTAACAGGAGGACATCTCGGAATTAAAAATACATTGAGTCACATACGACAACGATTTTACTGGATAGGTATGAGGCGAGATGTGGAAGAATGGTGCAGGACATGCAATACTTGTAGTGCTAAAAGGGGACCCAAGCATAAGGGAGACACTCACCTTATGAAGAGTTGCCTGTGAATATGTCAGAGTTTGTGAAAGTGTTATCGGAAAGGATGGATGATATTCACCATCAAGTGCGTTCAAATTTCAAAACGTCTGCTGATTCGATGAAGCTATCTTATGATAAGAGATCTACTGAAGTAAGCTTTGTACCAGGAGACAAGGTATGGTTGTATAATCCCAGGAAGACCAAAGGGAAGTTTCCTAAGTTGTTTTCTCCATGGGAAGGCTCATATGACATAGTGGATCGTCTCTCAGACGTGA